ATAGGAGGAATGATTCTACTTTCAGTCTTTCTCAGCCCTTGACTCTAATGTTCAAGATCACTACCATGTATCTCACGTGACCACTCTCGTAATTCCATCCCCCATTTTCTTCTCATAGTTGGTCTCAACGAAAAAACTATACACAATCAGAGCGCGAAAGACCAAAATTCAAATGACCCTTTTAGGACTGGATCTCCTCCGAACAATTTGAATTAAGTCATTGTTTTTACCTTTATGTGAAAAGGCGTTTCTAGCTCTTCAAATTGTTGAAGGTGTATGCAGAAAAGGAAGGGAAACAAAGAAAATTTATGAAGAATGCGGTGTTATGGCATCTTTGCTTAAACTTTACATTTTTGCTTTTTTGCCAAAAACACTTTTTCCACTCACTGCTGATTTGAGCCAAGAAAATTTGCTTACATTCTCTTGTCAGCTAACACAGTATAGCAAAACCACTATCACTTTTTGCAAATTGCCTGTAAAATCACCATCGCTTTTGCTGCTTGTCGTTGGACTGTCGAACCTATGGTCAACTCATTTTAGTGTGTTGGATTTCATCAGCTAAGGGCGGTGCAAAAGTCATTAAATTGGTGATTTTATGGATGTGGCCTGTGTACAAGCAGTGTGACAAAGTGCATTAACGTAAAGTTTGGCCCAGATTCAGGCACACATATATTTAGAACACGCACGCATCATTGTGATTTTAAGATACTTAGATGGCCTGTCTTCACTTGTCGTGCAGGCCACAGCACTGTTTCCATCCGTTTCTTCTCTCGCTAGCATCATCCACGATGTTGGTATTGAAGTGCGGCCGCGACGTTCGCGAGGTCCAAATCAATACTCGTTACAAGCTGAGAATTTAGCTGGTCCATCCGTGCAACGAACACGTCAGCCCATCTGGTCGGTAGCATCCTCGAGAAGGTTTTGCTTTGCGAAGAACCATTTCAGAGTTTTGAGTGTTCATCGATCATTTGTCCTTCTCATTATATGGTCAGCCGATCGACGTTTTGCCTTAGAGACGTATTCCGCTGGATCGCGAAGATGGGACATTGATCTCCTATCTGGACTGCGAAGTCCGACGAGATATTGATTGCGTCGGTTGTACTTCAGAAGGCGTCGTTCTGTTCGAAGTGTTTTCGACGTAGCCATTGTCAGGCTACGTCTCTGCTGCGTAACAGAGCGCAGGAAGAACGATTAACTCGAACATTTGAGCTCGGAGCTCCGGATCCGTCAGTTGTTCTGTGGCTTCTTTTGGGGGTTCAAAAGCGCCCAAGCTGCTCTTTGCCTCCTGTTTGCTTCTTCTGCGTTCTCTATGTTCATCGAACGTCAGAGAGAGAAGACGTCTCCGCCACTGAGTAGCCTTCTAATTCCATTTCTTGGTCCTCGCAAAAAGCGTTCTTCATAAAAAGTCTTCTTCCGAATAATTTGTAGTCCTATCCGCTTTCCTACTTCGTCCAGTTCTTTCATCATGTCCACACTTCAGTGACATTCCTCAAGAAGAAAGCAATGCCGCCCAGCAAAACGAATCGAGAGGAATCCCATCAACCGTATACGTTTTCCGTTCCAATCCGGTGATTTCATCACCCACTGCAACGCGGTGGTAAACAGCTTTGGCGACACTGTCGCCTTTCGAACCCCCTTCGAGATTGGTATGCTGAAGGGACGATGGAAAAGCTGTACGTTCCTGTAGCAATCGGCTAATGTCCGCACGTAAGAGGTCCACCCATTGGTCGACGAGCGCTGACAGTATGACATGTCTTTGATGCTGTCGAACGCTTTTTCATAGTCGACGAAGGTTAGGACGAGAAATCGGGACTCGCGGCAAACCTCGATAGTCCCCGAAACCGTTTGGATGTGATCCACGCAGCAGAATCCCTTGCGAATTACAGCCTATTCTGCAGGTTGGGCTTCATTTAGTGTCCTTGATATGGAGTGAGAATGAAAGTCTTCTTGCAAAGCTGTTCTGCAACTGGTATTGCCTACCAGTCGCTCGAGATGTGATGCAGTTGGATACCACCTCAGCGCTCTTCTCTCTAACAGATCCTTGATGGCTTTCGAAATTTTTCCCAACCTCTGTTCGAGGCGTTGAGGCGCTTTCACCGCAGGCCCTCAGCCCTCTGAGAAACAGGTCATAGTCTTAGTTGGGTCCACCTCGATGGGCCAGTCACAAGCGGTTAGGAGCTCCTCCAATCTCGCCTTCATATGCTTCTCTTCTTTAACACGATGATAGATATTCTTTTCCAGCTTTCGGCTGAATCGCACTTTTGCTCAAAGGAGTCGGTGATATGAACCACTGCTGAAGGATGGTACCACTGATACTTTCAGTAAGCAGCACCTTCAGTTAGTGGGAATGTGGCTCCGCATAAATCGTACCGTTGGGTACTCTCATGACCCCCGCCAGTGTTCTTTGTTCATGAAGATGGAGTTGCCATGAAAAAGTTGTGCGATAGACCCAACAAGACGTTCAACAATTTCATTCCAGATTCCTACTTTGAATCTCCCAATTCTATGCTCCCCTTCTTGACATCCCATTTTCGCATTGAAGTCATCCACGACAAATTTGTAGGACTTCTTCTTGCGTATGACTTCCTCCAAATCCTCATAAAAAGCATCGAGTTCCGAGTCATCAGCTGCTGATGTTGGAG